ATACAGTGAGAAATAAATTTGTGTTGTTTAAGTTGCCCAGCCTGTGATATTTTGTTATGGAAGCCAGAGCTGCCAAAGACACCTGTCTCCATGGTTTTGCTTTTTGAGCAGTTCCTTACCTTCTGGCACTGTAAGATACTCCAGGCCTACTGGGCACAGTGGCTCATGTCTGTAATCCTAGCACTCTAGGAAGCCCAGATGGGTGGATTGCATGAGCTCAGGAGTTCGAGACCAGCCGGAGCAAGAGTAAGACACAGTCTCTAAAAATAGTCAGGCGTGGTGGCAGGTGCCTGTAGTCCCAGCTACTTGGAAGGCTGAGGCAAGAGGATTGCTTGAGCCCAAGAATTTGAGGTTTCTGTGAGCTGTGATGTCATGGTACTCTATCCAAGGTGACAAAGTGAGATGCTATCTAAAAAAAGAAAAACAAACAAACAAAATACTTATCTTATTTATTTCCTGCAGCAGTCTTAGAATTAGCACTTTTCCAAGGAGTCTGGTTCCTTTAATTAGAGAATGATATTAGCAAGGAAGTACTGGCTCCCAAGTAGCAGTATGTTGGGATGGACAAATAAAAAAAAAAAAAAGACTTAGGGCGTGGTGCCTGTGGGTCAAAGGAGTAGGGTGTCAGCCCTATATACCAGAGGTGGCGGGTTCAAACCCAGCCCCAGCCAAAAAGTAAACCAGACTTGTTTTGTGCCTGCTCAGGTGCCAGGTGCTGGCTCCTTTCCATGTCAGCATTTCTTAATTCTCAGAGCAATCCTGTGAAGTGTTCTCGGTCAGTCCTCTCTGCTGATGAGGAATGGAAGTGGAGGGTCAATGTCAGCCAGCATCATCCAGTTCTTCTCCAAGCCCAGCATGCTGCCATGATGGAGACTGGTGTCACAGACAGCACAAACAAATACCCATTTATCTTCAGTTTTGTACTTCTGTTCTTCATAGAACAGAATTATTCTAGAATAATTTGCATTGCAATCAGCATGTACCGGGTAATTGTGCTTATTCAGTGGAGTAAAGATATAAGAATAAGACCCTCCTGGGCTCAAAAAATAAAGATTACTGCTCTCAGAGTGGACAGCTGTTATGTACTTGCCTTCTGTATACAGATGGCATACTCCTATCCCGTGTGCAAAGACAGGCACTCATCTTCCTGTACACACATAGATGTCCTGCGTGGGGACGATATGTCCCTACTTGCGCGAGCTCACACGGCATGTACCTATCTATGTGTGCACAGGTGACATGTATTTGTCCTTACGTGCACAGATGAGATGCCTTAACTTAAAAGCTAATGAAATCTGACAAGCAGAACAGTGCGTTACAATGGACGTGTACAGTACCTACCATTTGTTCGAGTTTGGACTATGTCAGATATTTTTTTCTTTCACGCATTAGACTCACTTATGAGATTTGGGGACGTCCTGATTAAACCATTTAGTGCAGTGGTCCTCAACCTTCCTAATGCCACAACCCTTGAATACAGTTCCTGTGGTTGTGACCCACAGGCTGAGAACCGCTGATTTAGTGTCTTCGATGTTATCATTCTAAGCAGTGCTTCCAAAGGTAAAACTGGGAGTTTAAATTTTGCCCCCAAGGATGGGGATAATGGCACAAGGGAAAGAACAAATCAGTCGGCCAGAGTGACTAAGCTTCCCTCGGAGTGACTGCAGCCTGGTCTGCCATTTGAAGTGGATATTGATGAGGTTGTCTGCTCAGCACTCCTTTCTCCTCTGAGAACAGGCTGCCTTAGCCGCTCCTCCAGGGCAGCCATGTTAGGACATCTTGACCTGCTCCTGGCCAGTTGATTGTTCCAGGACGAGCACTTGAGCCAGCTGCGCCAGGCCCAGAGTCCTTGCCTAGGACTTTTGGAACAAGAACTTAAGAAGAGAGTTGGCCTTTTAGTGATCGAAGCTGTGAACAGTGAGGTTGTCAGTTGCCATGTGAAGAAAGTGTGTGAGCACCCAAGTGCCCGTCAATACATGAGATTAATAAAATGTGATATATATACACCATGGAGTACGACCCAGCCATAAAAAACGGTGAACTAACACTTTTTTGTTTTTTTAGACAGAGTCTCACTTTATGACCCTCAGTAGGTGCTGTGGCATCACAGCTCACAGCAACCTCCAACTCCTGGGCTTAGGCGATTCTCTTGCCTCAGCCTCTGAGTAGCTGAGACTACAGGTCCCAGCCACACACAACACCCAGCTATTTTTGGTTGCAGTTTGGCCAGGGCCGGGTTAGAACCTGCCACCCTTGGTATATGGGGCCGGTGCCCTACCCACTGAGCCACAAGTGCTGTCCAGACACCTTTTGAAAGAGCCTAGATGGAACTGGAGACTGTTCTCCTAAGTGAAGTATGGCAAGGTGGAAAAATACTGCATGTTCTTACTAGTAAACTGGAATGAATCGATCAACAACTCATGTACACATGTGAAAATAAAACTGATAGAAATCAAGCAGGTGGTGGGGGTGGGAGGGAATGGGTAAAATCACACCTCAAGGGTATAACACACTGCCTGGGTGATGGGCACTTTATCACTGTGACTCAGACTGTACAAAAACGATTCATGTAGCCAAATCATTTGTATCCCTTTTATATTCTGAATTAAATAAACAAAAACAGAAAGTTTGTGTGCAAACAGAATAAGTAAATCGATAGGCACATAGACACACATATAAAGCATTTGAGTTCTGACATGACATGGGTATTTTGTGAAGAGTGTTGTTATACCTTTCACCAAGTCCATCTTTTATGCTAAGGCTAGTCAGAGCTAGCTTTCACCTATTTCCAATCAAAGCCCTAATCAATGCAGAATGACAGATAACCATATTATCACAATAATACGCCACAATAAATATTGCTGAGACTCAAACCTGTGAGAGATATTTTCCTACTTGTCCAAATAAGACAGGTCTAGGTTTAGGTCTCCCATCAAGGGGGGTTAATTTTCCAGAGACTTTCCAAATACACATGAATTTATGTTAAGTTTGCATAGTAGACTTACAGTGAACTGGCTTTCAAATTACAAAAAGATTTTAAATTACTAAATTTTTCCTCTACTTTATGGAAACAAAATGATAAGTTGTGGTGACCAAGTAAACTAAAATTTTCTGAGACACAGCACTGGGTCAGTCAATAGGTACTTTTTGATTGTGATGCTTGGGTCCTTGTGACATGGTGGACTTCTGAGCCTTCCCAAGCTCTCTTTCCTTATAGAGAGAGCAAACCTTTCAGAAGCTTCCTATCTTTTAGGCAAAAATCTGAACATTTCTTGTGCCTACCTGGCTCCCATTAGTCTGGACGGGGGCCCTCCACTTCAGTCACTTTGGCCTTAAATTTCTAGCCTCACAGGACCATTTGACAAGACTGGCATCCACTTATCTGTGCTGCCAAGCAAAGTCCTACCCATTTTTCAGGTCTTCCCTGACCCAACACACTAGGTCTGGTTCTCTTTCTATAATTTGTCACCGCATCCTGTATTTCTTTCTTGTAATACCTAGGAAAATGATAATTGAAAAAAAATTGGGTAATTACTGAATGCCTGCCTCCCTGGCTCTTAAGTGTAAGATTCACGTGGGAGAGACAGTATTTGTCTTGTTCATTGAACACAGCTAGGCACATAGTTGGCACAAATTATGTATTTGTAAAGTGAGTAGAAGAAAGAATTACCAGCTACCAGCTGAAGAGGAAATAAATACCCATCTCTTGGGCATTGACCAGACCTGCTGGTTGTGGAAGGCCTGCCCAGACAGAGACACAGAGACTGCTGGAACAGCTTGCCAGAGCAGTTAGCAAACCAGAGAATAATTAAATATACCTTTACGTGTTTTTCTCCTACAATTTTTAAGTGATTAGCAAATGTTCAGTTCTTAATCCAATTTTAACAGTGCTAACCATCTTGATCAAAGAAATTTCAGCTCAGAATACTGACAGCCAAAGTCAAGAACACACTGGTTTGGATGACATTGTGTTATTCTCCCAAGTGTACGACAGTGGCTACCATTGTTCACTTTTAGTTGTGGTGCCTTTTATTTTATTTTTTACTTCGTTTTATCATTTCTTATTCATTCCTCGAAACAGTCTTATGGGGAGAGCTGTTCCCATGGACGATGAAGAAACACTTCCTCTTTCAAAGCCTTTATTTTTTGAATGATATGAATTGCCAAAGAGGAAGCAATCAAACCTATCGAGCGAGCGTTCCCTGCCCTCCGCCCCGCGCGCTGCTTCCTGGTTTTAAAATGCTTTCGGATCCTCCGGTGAGTTGTCTTAGATAAGTGGATAACTATTCATTTTTAGGGAATCACGTCTTTCACCTGTTCGTTCAGCTGGAAGACACCACAAGGGAATCGATTTTGCAAATTCAATTCATTACACCCTAACAACGAGCCACAACTTGCAGCTTTCGCGAAGGTGACATCGATAGCTATCCTACGTAGGACAAATTTAGCTTCATTCGTTTTCAATCACAAAGTCTGCAATCGCCTTCCGGGCGGCGCGGGTCCGGGACTCGGCTCCCGGCTGCGCCGCACTCACGCGGGCTCCAGGGGAGGCGGCGAGTGCAGCCAGCGCTCCGAGAGACTCTGCAGGCCTCCAGGGGACGCCGCCCGCGGTCCCCCCTGCCGCCAGAGGACGAAGCAAAACCAGAACAGAAATCGTTGATTTCAAAAACCACCTAGGGAAATGTTTTCCAAAGGCAGGTGAGGCCTTTTCAAAGCGATGGTTCTTCAAGCCTCCGACTTGAACAGAACTTTTCTCGCCGCAACCCGCCCACGGCACTGGGTCTCCGCCGCCGCCAACCGGCGGGAGCAGCCAAGGGACCGCGGGCGGTGCAACAAGCCGCCGCCAGCTCCGGCCACACCCGCCACACCCGTCGGCCCCGCCGAGCCGCGGCCAACGCCCCCGCCGTGTGCCCGCCTCCCGCAGCCAGACGGCTCGCGATTGGCTGGAGAGGCTGCCCGTCACGAGGAGAGGTTGCGTCGTCCGGAGCCCTGCGCTCCCATTGGTCGAGGTGGTGGCGGCCGCGCGCGCGGGGTCCCGGCGAGGAGGGGAAGCCGGTGGCCGCGAGGGGGGGAAGCCGGTGGCCGCGGCGGCGGAACGGGCGGAGGCTGCCGGTTTCGTAACCGTCGCTCCTCCTCGCTGACTCGCGGGCTGCGAGGCCTGGGTCGCATCGGGCCGCGCCGCGCGGGGCTGCTCGGAGCGGAGGCCGCCTGGGGGCGGGCGGGCCGGAGGCGCAGGTAAGGAGGCCGCGGGCGGGCACGCGGAGACCGGGGAGGAGGCCGCGGCGGGGCCGCCCGCTGGCCTGGGCGCGGGCCCGGCTCGGGGAGACTCGGCCCGGTGCGAGGTGGCCTGCTGGCGGGGAAGGCCCCGCGAGGCTCGAGGCGCAGGCGGCGGCCCCGCGCGGCGTCTGATGCAACCTGCCGGCAACACCCGGCGGGGACGCTGAGCTCATCCCTGGCCTGGGCCCAGCGCCGCGGCGCCACCGGCCGACCCCGACTCCCCCCACCGGCGCCCCGAGCTCGGAGCGCGGCGGACGCTGGCGACGGGATGGAGGGCGAGGTGTGCCCCCCTCCAGAACCCGGCCCTCTGCGAAACAGGCGGTGTGACAAGCCAGGCTCGTATTGGCCCCTGGGGATGAAGGGTGTTCCTAGAACAGCAGAAGGTGGACGGTATCTTTAGTGCCACATACGATGATATGTTCTGCCCCTCCAAAATGGCTCGGTCTGTGGTGGTCTGGAATTCTGTCCAGAAGTTAATAAAGCGACAGAGCAGCCAGCGAGAGCACTTGATTTTTAAATACATAACTTTACCGAAAGACTTTTTTGCTTATTTAGGAGGTTCTTTTTGAGTGTCCCGCAGTTCACCATTGAACGCAGCAACAACCACGAGTCCAATAGAAAAAGAAGTACAGGCGGTAAAGCCCTTTGCTAGCACGGTTGGAGGCAGCATAGCAGGGGGAAATAGAGGCGTCTGGATAGAGAGGATGGAAATGCAGGTTGAGGGGAAAGAGATTTTGTTCTTCCATGTAAGTTTGTTTGTTGCTGTTCTTCAGAAGGTCTAAGTTTGGTTTTCCTCTTGTTTGATGTTTATCCTGTTTATCTGCCACCTTTAAACGTGTGGTCGGTTTTAGAAAGGTTGTACCGTTGTTGGGTGACACAAAATTACCTTCAAAGCTATGCTCAATTGAATCCTTACTTGAAATAGATTACCTAAATGCACATCTCTCTCCTAAAGAAATGTGACTCCCAAGGAAAATCTTGAAATAAAATACTGTAAAGGTTTGCTTTACTAAGAAATTCTGCACCACAAAGTTGTTGATGTTTTAACTTAGGATCTGGTCAGCTGTTACCACTTGAGTAGTATCTGGGATAAGTCATTAAGGTTGATTCTGTTTCTGGAAGAACGTACCATAAACAAGGCTAGATAATTACGGGATGCTAGGGAGCTGAAGCATATTTCAGCGTCTTGATTCCTGCTTCTGGTGAGCACACTTGGCTGGTTCAATTATTTTTAATATCTGCCTAAAAAAAAAGGAGATGGAAACAAAACTTCCATTTTTTCAGAATATCTTTTGAATTCTCAGGAGCATTTGATGACTGAAAGCCGTTCTGATCTTGGAGAGGTGGTTTCATCCCTGGGCAATTAAATGGCCCATGGTAGCGCCTGGTAAAGACAGGTAGGACCCGCTTGGGGTGAATTTGGTCTTGTGGTCTAAGGTTGCTTCACCTGGTCACGGGAATGGTAAATACAGGGAGTCACAATTCCAGGCTGGTTGTATATTCTTGGGATGGTGCAGTGGGTTCTTATAGTACATATCGGTAGGTGCACTGGTTTCCTGACTTTTTCCTATAAGTAAGAAAAGAAAATGAGCATGAGCTCCCAATAGATGTGTATTTACAAGCAATGTTTTTATTTTGTGTATTACAAATCACGCTAAAAGTAGATTAGAAAGTAAAAAAGACAAACATAGCTGGGCACAGCAGCTCACGCCAGTAATCCCAGCACGCTGGCAGCTGAGGTGGGTGGATCGCTTGAGCTCAAAGAGTTGGAGACCAGTCTGAGCAAGAGTGAGTTCCCTGTATCTACTAAAAATAGAAAAACTACCCAGGCATTGTGGTTCTGTAGTCCCATCTACTGGGGAGGCTGAGGCAAGAGGATCTCTTGAGCCCAAGAATTTGAGGTTGCTGTGGGCTATGTCTACCCAGGGTGACAGAATGAGATTCTGCCCCCCCCCCCAAAAAAGGCAAACATACATTTTCTTGTCATACCCCAGTGGATCACTTACTACTCCCTAAAAGAGTGTACATCCCCCTTCAGAGACCTGACTAGGTGCTGGAGAAGTGCAGATGATCGGAGTCTGGCTCTGGCTTAGTCTGCAGGGAGCTCGCCAGAGAGCTCAAGTTGACAGATTGTACAGAAGCACAGAGAAGAGAGAAACACAGACCATTGAGGACAGTGGTTAGTGTTGTCGAGGTGTGAAGCAGGAGAGAAGGTCAGGACCTGTAGACTGGAGCCACAGGTGGACAGTGTGACACTCAGGTTTGAGTGCTGCTTTGCTCTAGAGACAGTGATCAGAGGGAGCCCTGCTAATCAGAGACTAGTGCCCCTGAGAGATGATGTTAACCTGAGGGTAACATGTGGCATTGCAATGGAGAGGAAGGGTAGAAATGAGATTATTCTTCCTTTTTCTTTTTTTGTTGTCTTATGTAGAATTGTCAGTTTCCAAAGACCCAACAGATTTGGGATAAGGGACAAACATCAGTGCATATTTTTAAGTGTTGATCTTCCCTGAGGAAATTAAGTGAACAGTTTGTTTTGGAGGGCAAGAGGAAGACTACCTGGTTCTAGGTATATGGGGGGAAAGGTGATAAAAGGGTCAGCATAGTTCTGGGCAGGTTATTTTTTTTTTTCCCTAAGTGAAACTTGAAAAAAATTTGATTTTGTTTTACTCATTCTGACATTTTGAACTTTTGGTGATTTGAATGAACAGTAAGAAGTTTGAATTTTAGAAAGCTGGTTACCCATTTAGTCCAACATTAAGATCCATTGTTAATCTAGAGCAGTGGCTCTCAGATCTCAGTGTCAGAATCACCTGGGGTCCCCTTAAAACAGTCTCCTCACTCCTCCTCCTGGATGATTTGGGTCAGTGGTAACCTGAGAATCTGCACTTCTGAAAAATTTCTAAGTGACGGTGATGCTCATCCAGGGACCACACTTTGAGAGCACTGCTCTTAAGCTTTCCTACTCTTTCTTGAACGATTCGGAAGCAAGGAAATGAGGTGCCACCCTGCTTCCTGCAGACTGGACTTTGATATTTGTCCATGCAGGAGCCAGTCTTCATTTAGGGTTGAGTGTCCAGACTGGACACAAACTTATGTTTTTGCCTCTTGTTGGTGCTCAGTAAATGTTTGTGGAAGGAACAGAAGCATAAAATAGTGTCTTTTTCATTGTAAAAAACAAAATTTATAATCTGTCTGAGGTTACGTTTTTTTGACGACTTAACTTCTTTGATTCCCATTACTTGGTTAAGTTTCTTTCTCTTCACTTTAAGAGCTACTTTTTTTATTTATATACGGTTGAAGAACTTTTTAAAAAAAAAACCTTCTTGGAGGTATTTTTATTATTCCAAGTTTCTGTTTCTTAACTTTTTTTTTTTTTTTTTTACCTGTTTGTAGGTTCAGTGAATACTCTTGATTTTTAAGCCAACACCTTCCCTGCTGTGTTCACCCTAGTACCTTGGCAAGATGAGTCAGACCAAGATGAGAGAGCCCTTCCCTGTTCCTGTACCTTTGGGTACAGACACAGGCACGTAGGACGCACATCACTGAACTTAGAGCCTGTGATGAGAAGAGTTCTTAGTGACCGAAGGTCATGATGTATTGTCAGTTGGAAGGAATCTTACCATCCCACACCCTTCATTTGCAGATGGGAAATCGAAGCCCACCAAAGAGAAGGGATTTGCCCAAACTGGAATGGGCAGCCAGAGCCAGAGCTGCCCCGGCCCCAGGTCTGCACAAGTCTGGATCCTTGCTACCTGAGCTTGATCAAGTTGACTGTAGAGATTGGCTTTTAATAATAAAAATATAATTGGTATATAAAAATATTAAGAAGGACGGCGCCTGTGGCTCAGTGGGTAGGGTGCCAGCCCTATATACCGAGGGGGGTAGGTTCGAACCTGGCCCCACCAGCTAAAACAAATAGCCGGGCATTGTGGCAGGTGCCTATAGTCCCAGCTACTTGGGAGGCTGAGGCAAGAGAATTGCTTAAGCCCAAGAGTTGGAGGTTGCTGTGATCTGTGACACCATGGCATGCTACTGAAGGCAAAAAAAATATTGAGGAGTAGATAAGTAAGATGAACATGGTCACGATGGTTAACACAACCCCAGGATGGATATTATTAATAAACAAGTTCTTCAAATATTGAGTAAAACATTTATGTTCTCTTCACACCAGATAGATAAGCACTAGAGTTAGGTGGCAGTGAGCGTGGCGCAGGTTACTACTGGACAGCCACTTTTTAACTATAAGAAAAATTAGGCCAGGTAATTATCAAGGGGGATTGTGAAGTGTCCATTGCTGGAGATAGACTTGGAGGCGGTCTTTCTCACAGTTTGGAAGGAAGCCGTCTTGCCTTAGGACTGGAGTGAGAACTGGTGACCCACTGAGCAATGGAAAGAAATAATATATGGAGTTTTTTAAAAATTTCAAAACAAAGTAGTATTTATTAATAAAACACTGGAAAATACTGAAGAGCCTCAAAAAGAAAACTACAGTCTTCTCTCATCCTACCTCTTGCAGATATTCACTATCAGCATTTGGGGGTACAGGTGATGGGTGCATGTGTGCTCTTTGCCCTTGTTCCTGGCTGAAATATTTACAAACCCGATGGCTAGATCTCTGGCAGGCATCTCAGGAACATAAAGATGAGTGTCTCATCATAAGCCTGGCACAAGAGCTGCCCGAATCAGAAACCAGGCAAGAACACTCCCCTCTGCACCCGCCTCAGCCCTCCATGAAGCAGAGCACGGCCCTTCTCTAAGACACGCTCCCTTTTTCATGAAAGGTAGACTGTGCTTCTCAGCATGTTTCCCGCCGCAGAGTACGGGGCTCAGTGGCCTCCGTTTTCGTCTCTCTCATTCTAAAGTAAGACATTCTAAGTGTCTTAGCAGATATAAATCTGTGAAAAAGTTTGTACACCTCTGTGTTGTTATGTGGACTTCTGAAGCAAAGATTTTTTTACAGAGCAGGCCAGTAAACAAAGTTTATATGGACCCGCCCAGCTAAAGGTCTGGGTGAAGCTCCTGGTGACTGCTGACAGGGCTTTTCTTAATAACTGTGAGATGCGCTCATTTGGGGCATTCCATAATTTGGAATAGAATTTTTCATTGAAGAAGTTTTAACTTTTTCCACGGAAGTAGTTTTAACAGTTTCATAAAAAGAGAACAGGCTAAATTTCTGGTTCCTAAGACTGCTTTCTGAATTCCCAAGAATGCTGTGACACAGCCCACTCCGCTTGACCAGTCTGTCCTGCAGGGCCTTCAGGATGGGGGAGATCTGCTTTACACTTGCTGAGGCCACTGTGGGATTCACAGCAGTTGCAGCTTTGACCCTTTCTTCATTTCTGCAGGCAGGGCGTCCCCTCAGTGCTTCCCTAGTGTGACGTGGCTGCAGCTGTCGGCCCTTTGTCCAGCTTGCTACCGGTACTTACACTTCCTTGAAGGCGTCATTAGGACTTTTGTTGCTTTCCTCCTGGTTCCTGGTTGTGTGTGTTGAGATGTCTGATTAGTTTTGTCAAAAAAAGAAAAAACATGAGTGGAAGCATGGTGGGATGGGGGAGCAAATGGGTCTCAGAGCTCCTAAATGCAGTGCTCCTAAACCATGGTACTATCATTTGAAGTCATTTAAAAAATAAAAATCAAAAAATATCTTTTAAAAATATCTCATAGACCAGGCATAGTGACTCACATCTGTAATCCTACCACTCTGGGAGGCTGAGCTGGGTGGATCACTTGAGCTCAGGAGTTCCAGATCAGCCTGAGCAGGAGCGAGACCCTGTTTCTAATAAAATAGAAAAACTAGCTGGGTGCTGTGGTGGGCACCTATAGTCCCAACTACTTGGGAGACTGAAGCAAGAGGATCTAAAGAAAGGTCTAGGAGAAAATTGAAGTCCCTGATGATTCCCCCTGTATGCTGGGACAGCAGCATGCAGAGATGATGGCGTCCTAGTCCCAGTCCCTGCCAGTCCTGGAGCCTGGGCGCTCTCCTCCAGCTTTGTGTTTGCACTTGGACCAACGACTGAGACTTTCCCACCCTTCATTGCAGGTGTCTTTCTTCTATCACAGTGGGACTCAGCTTTTCCACGTTTAACCCAAACATCTCAAATGCCTTCCTGGTGGATTATCAGTTGCTGTTAGCGCATACGTGCCGCCTTATTGTCGGGGTCCTGTTTTGTTTTTCCTCCTGTTTTTGATAACAATCGCAGATGGACAGCACCCTCAGGGATTCTGGTGGGCTGAGTTTAGCCTTCTGGTGTTTCTGAGCTAACTTACCTTTCTAAATTAAATGAGGGAGACTTCAGAAACACTGGAACAGTTGGCAGTTGCTATAGACTTTTCTCAGCATAATCAATTAATGTTGGCCTGCTGTTAGGTGCAGTAGAGTTTAATCTCATTTGATGCTGTCATTTCAAATATCTTAATACGATTTGTTTTTTAACTAGGTACATGTGAAGATTTTTTGGCAGTTTAGCGTGGAAACTGTTGAACCCCTGTGCTGGTTTCTGCGCGTTCTGTGTTGGCCAGGGAGAGCGCCCAAATGAGCAAGCCATCGCAGCAGAACAGTACTCCAGGAGTGAACGGGATAAGCGTCATTCACACTCAGGCACATGCCAGCGGCTTGCAGCAGGTCCCTCAGCTGGTGCCCGCTGGCCCTGGGGGAGGAGGCAAAGCTGCAGCTCCCAGCAAGCAAAGCAAAAAGAGTTCACCTATGGATCGAAATAGCGATGAGTATCGGCAGCGCAGGGAGAGGAACAACATGGCCGTGAAAAAGAGCCGGTTGAAAAGCAAGCAGAAAGCACAGGACACACTGCAGAGAGTGAATCAGCTCAAGGAAGAGAACGAACGTTTGGAAGCAAAAATCAAATTGCTGACTAAGGAACTGAGTGTCTTAAAAGATTTGTTTCTTGAGCACGCGCACAACCTTGCAGACAACGTGCAGCCCATTAGCACTGAAAGCACAGCCACAGATTCCAGTGGTTCAGGACAGTAGACCTTGCCCTCTCCAGACTCCACAGCCTGTGGTCTGAACCCTTAGTGGATGTGACCTCCTGCAGCACTCGTACCAGTAGGTGAAGGTTGTCTTCTTCCATTATTCAAAGACACAGTGGAGGTCATTTTCTAGGACCAGTACTGAGAGTTGATTAGCTAAACATGTTAACCTTGTAATTTAAATGTCTGGTTTTAAATGACACAGTCTTTTGTGGGGATAAAAAAGCAAGCATTTTAAAGATACATGGTAAAAAATTATCCTGGACCTTGATATTTGTAATAAATCTTGACTTCCCGAGAAATTCTTCTTTTTTAAATTGGGGAAAAGAAATGGGCAACCGGCAGGTCATGCTGAAGGTTCTTGGCTCTGTAGTGGAGATGTGAGTGGGATTACGAAAAGTTGAATGCCATCTGTGTCAATCTATTTGTGATTTTACTCTAAATTATGTATTGTTAAGTCCTTAGAGCTGTAGAAACCAATCACTTTGTAACTTGGAGTGATTTTACGTATAGCGTAAACTTTATCTTATCATAATTAGGACTGGTTCCCCCAACAAGTACAAGTTTTGGAATTGTGATGTCAGTTGAAGAAAGCTCATCACATCTTAAAGTCCGGTACAGCCAGTTGACTCAAAAGTGCAAGTAACATTGAGAAAGAAAATAGGCTTTATTAGAAAATAAAAGTAAAGCATATTAGAATTATTGGGTTTGGATATATGTGGGTTATTAGATTGACATTATTTTGCCTTTAAAAAGAGCTCAGTGGTTTAGAGAAGCTTGTGTACCAAGACGTCTGTTTCTGCAGATGCTAGTAGAGTAAGCATTGTTTTGAATAACGTTTTGACAGTCAGGTTAGTAAACAAAATGTCTTAGCAGTTTGATGCCACATGCTGATTGGGAGCTGGAATATTAATCAACTCAGCAGGTAACTTTCTCTGTTCAAAATAGCTGCCATGGGGCTATGATTTTTAAAGGCAAAGGTTTCTTGTAAAGGATCATTTTGGTATTTGATCTTAACCAAGTGATTATTAGAAAAATCTATCAACTCCATGCCATCTCCTAAAATTATTGTTTAAGAAAACTTGAAAGTGTAAGGTTTAACCTTTAATTTATTCACTTAAATACATCTTTTTATAATACTTTTGTTATATATCTGTTTCTCTGGCTAGTGACCGTTCTGCTAGACTTTATGTACCACTGCTTCTGCTTAGTCATGTTCTTTTATGTCCCATAAATTATTTTAGAAAGAAAATGCTGATAAAACTCAGGATATTGACGTTTCTGTTTGGACTCCATGGCAGTCACTCAGACAGGGAGTCTAGAGTCTGGCTTCTGTCCGTGTTGGTAAAACCGACAGAAGCCAGCTTCCTTTTTGCAGCACAGTTCTAGCTCAGATTTGTTGGCTTTTGTGTAGTTCTTTGTTTCTGGGCTGGTGATGAAACTGAATCATATCTGATTAAAAGTTTGTGTCACCAGGCATCTCATTTGGCCACATTGCTGTTTCAGACTAGGACTTGGGATAATGTAACCAGGATGTAACTCAAGTTGCACCCTGGGGGTCGTGGAAGAGTGCGAGTGCCGACTCTATATCCTCCTGGGCAGGAGAAGACATCGCAGTGCCCTGCAACTCAGCAGAGCCATTGTTAGGGTCACAGGGCCCTGCTGAATGTCAGACAGGAGCCCAGGGTTGTTCCATGAGATGTTGTCCCAGGAGGGTTATTAACACATATAGAGCCAAGAAGTAGGTTTCTGTTAGGGTCCAGTACTTGTTCACTTTGGCTGGAGTATTGATCTCCTCATAAAGGCTGATAAATGTTTTGAATAACCAGGATACCATAGAATCCTACTGATTGATGTTATATAATTAATCGGTGATGCAGTTAGGTCACTTGAATCTTTTTTTTTAAAGATAGTCTCACTCTGTCACCTTTGGTAGAGTGCCATGGCGTCACATAGCTCATAGCAACCTCAAACTCTTGGGCTTAAGTGATTCTCTTGCCTCAGCCTCCCAAGTAGCTGGGACTACAGGTGCCCACCACAATGCCTGACTATTTTTAGAGATGAGGTCTTACTCTGGCTCAGTCTGGTTTCAAACTCATGAGCTCAGGCAGTCCACCTGCTTTGGCCTCCCAGAGTGCTAGGATTCTTTGTCTAGGTCATTTGAATCTTTAAGCACCTATAATAGATGCTACAGACATTTTAATCCCTTATTCACTAAAAAATGTTTTTCATAAATTGAAATCCCCATAGAATTTATGGTCACCAATTATATAAATTGACTTAAACATCTTGAAAATGAAGCTTTACGGATCATCAGGGATTTGTGCACAATATTTCAAATCAGGACACAAGGTCAGAACTTTGGGAAAACCTGATGAAAGCTTTTCCTGTTACCTATGCCAATCAGAACTTAGGACAAGGGAGCAATCGTGCATAGAACAGAAATGTTCACCACTGTCTTGACTATCTTACGGAAGTAGTTGGGAATGAAAGTTTTTAGTTTGACAGATGTTTCAGTATAAAACTGAGGGGAACCAAGTATGGGGAATGAATAAGTTTAGAGGTTTGAGAATTGTAAAGTGACTGTTGTAACTTTTACTGGGTGTCACTTAGAAACTGTTAGGATTTGCTCCGCCTCTGCAGGCGGATCCGTCCGGGGCTCAGGCTGTCGCCTGCATTTCTAGCTGCACAGGAGTCTGGGGTGGGTGTTTCGGCTGGTTTGGGCGGCAGGTGGTGAGAGCACAGCGGCTTTTCCTGCTGCTGGCCCCTTGGCGGTTACTGGGATGCTTTGACGTTCTTACTAAGAAGTAGTAAGACTTTAATAAAATTTAACCAGGTTTTTGAAATTCCGGTCTTGAGTGTGAAATTCTCAAATTTACAGAAAAAGTAGATGTACAATTTAGTATTTGATATTTAAAAAAGGAAACTGTAGCAACTTTTATGTTTCTTAATCCTCTGTAGAGGGCTTGTCACTTTGTACCTGAACAACCCACTTAGCGCTCTCAGTGCTTTCTGATGCCTTAGAAATAGGAAACACTTTTGTTTGACAAAAGCTGGGAAGGAGGAAGCCCATTCTGCAGCCCTCAGAGCTGCCTCTCAGGAAGAAGTGCTCACTTGTTCTTTTTGTTCCTGGCTTTCCTCAGTTTGTGAGATTACTCTATTTTTTTAAATATAATTTTATTTCTTTCAATGAATTTAAAATAAAAAAAAACCTTTGAAACAATTACTATGTTTCATTGTGGGTTTCTTTGTAATGGACAGGGGAAAGCACTAGGAGTGCTAGACGGCTCAGACGGCAGGGCCGGCTGGGCTGTCTTCCCTGTTCCCAGTCTGGGGGTCGGGTGGTGTTTGACGGCTCAGACGGCAGGGCCGGCCGGGCTGTCCTCCCTGTTCCCAGTCTGGGGGTCCGGCTGTGCTGGACGGCTCAGATGGCAGGGCCGGCCGGGCTGTCCTCCCTGTTCCCAGTCTGGGGGTCGGGTGGTGCTGGACGGCTCAGACGGCAGGGCTGGCCAGGCTGTCCTCCCTGTTCCCAGTCTGGGGGTCGGGTGGTGCTGGACGGCTCAGACGGCAGGGCCAGCCAGGCTGTCCTCCCTGTTCCCAGTCTGGGGGTCCGGCTGTGCTGGACGGCTCAGAGCGGCAGGGCCGGCCGGGCTGTCCTCCCTGTTCCCATTCTGGGGGTCGGGTGGTGCTGAATGGCTCAGGTGGCTCAGACGGCAGGGTCGGCCGGGCTGTCCTCCCTGTTCCCAGTCTGGGGGTCAAGTGGTGCTGGACGGCTCAGAGCGGCAGGGCCGGCCAGGCTGTCCTCCCTGCTCCCAGTCTGGGGGTCGGGCGGGGGTGGGAGGGACAGGAAGAGTTACTTTGTCCAGGTCGACATCCCCTATTTCCCTTAGTGCACAGGGAGGTGGTTTTCTCTGGACACGGGATATATCTATAGTTATAGTTCAGTCGCTTGTTATAATCTAAAAACGTAAAGTAGAGCAGGGGACGTGGTAAGTAGGTTCTACGTAATCACGTCTCAGGCGTGGTTTCCAGCACCACAGTGGAAGAGGAGGCGTTGTCTTGGGGTGCACATTAACTTCATAAACGCTAATGAACGCTGATGAGCAAAAACAAGATTCGTGCATAATTTTCATGGTACCTGCCACCACAGATAAGCAAAAACACCCTCACGTAAACTGCATGTGGCTTGTGACACCCCCAAGAGTGGTGAGGAGTTGGTAGGTTGTGAAGTAAGGCCTCCCCTCACCATAGCTCCACAGTGTGTGTGAACACCTTCATTCACGGGACGTCATACGTGGAGAAGTCAGTTGCCAATTTCATAAAGATGGGGGGTCCAGGAAGCTGATTGGAAGGGTTTCAAGAGAAGACGCCACTTAGATCCTTTTCTTCTGTGATCCTACAGTAGTTTTAAATCTTGGGAAATAAATGTCCATTTATTACATCTTAATAAAGATTACAGTATAGTGATTATTTCTATGGGTAGTATGTCCCAGCTTATTCTTATGAATTAGTTATAATTTTGAATCTAATAATGTCTTAAATTTTTGAGAGGTTATTTCTTTGTGAAGGTGCCAGGTCTTTGGTAACAGAAGCAGTAGTAGACTGCACATCTGTACCAGAGAGTTCAGGAGCTTTATACATGCGAGGAGGAGGACACCAGTGCCTACAAATTCTTCCAGCATCCGGACTTGTCACAGAGCTCTAGGCCTGAAAGTCATGTAGCAGCATCAAGAAAAACGGAGGTTGTAGACTTGGGCTTGATAAAGAACAGAGTCGTTAGTGAGGCAGTCACGCGTCACACTCTGCAGCCCAGACACAGTCGCGCCACTCCTCAGGAGTAGCTGTAGAGCCAGATTCTCGTCCACACCGCCGCCTCTCAGCTCTACATCCTAACGCATCTGTCCACACCGCCGCCTGTCAGCTCTACATCCTAACGCATCTGTCCACACCGCCGCCTGTCAGCTCTACATC